TCTCTAAAATTACATAAAAATGACTATGGATTACATGTAAATTAATATGGAAAAAATTTACGAGCATGCCTAAGGAATAATTTATATGTGATTTAGAAATGATATGTAAATCAAACACATGGAAAGCATGTCATTGTAAATCTCTTAGAATTACATGAAACTGATTGTGGATTACATATAAATCAGTATGTGAAAAAGCTCGTGAGCATGACTAAGGAATGATTTACATGTAATGTGCTAGAGATTACATGTAATATCTAGCAGATTACATGAAAACAACTATGAATTACATGTAAATCAATATATGAAGAAATTCACAAGCATGCCTAAGGAATAATTTACATGTAATATCTGGTAGATTACATGTAAATCAAACACACAGGAAGCACAACATTGTCAATGCCCTTGAATTACATGAAAACGACTTTGAATTATATGAAAATGACTAAGCCAAAAGCTTTGTATCCTAAACCAAATCCCTAGCATCCAAGCCATAGCCCTTTACACCCTGAGCCATAACATATGCACCTTAAGTTAGAAGCCTTACACCCAAATCATAACTCTTGTACCCAAACTATAACCCTCATACCCAAGCAAGAAGCCTTACACTCTAAGTCATAACATGTGCAATTTAAGCTAGAATCTTTACACCCAAGCCATACCTCTTGAACCTAAGTCATAACCCTTGCACCCTTTGGTTTTAGTGCTCTAAATCAAAAAGTATATTATGAGGTGTGAGAATAGCATTATGCCCATGTTAAATTACATCCTACCTTATATAAAAAAAAAGATAAGGAAACACTCGCAATAAATTCTTACTTTTTTAAGTATTATGCATTGTATAGCAAACTATGTTAACTTGTAAGAGATGTGAATTCAATAATGTAACATCGAGGACAACTAAATTGTCCCTAAAAAAATAATTAAATGTGAAGAGAAAGAATGAACAACAATAATTTTAATGAAAAAATATTAATTCCATCAAGTTTGATATATCTTTCTATCAAGTAAAATCAAAATGACAAATAAAGATTTTAAGACACCCCATATTAAATAATATACCATGGGGATTAAAAACAATATTATGATTGTGTTGAATTACATCATAACCTATACAAAAAATGAGGGATGGTTATAAGTACAATCACAATTTCATTCAATCTTTCAAAGGAATTCTTTGGTTGGCATTTCCTTATAACTCACTTGATTTATGATATGCATGAGTTGAATTTACAATAGCTTCTTGACTTGAATTCATTTTTTCTCATATTCAGACAAAACCTTATTTTCTCTTGTAGCCAAATCCTTTCTAGCAGTCATGGCCATGAATGCCTATTCCATATTTGTAGCATTCTTTGCACTTGTTTCTAGAAATGGTATGCTAATTTCATTAGCAAATGCCTACAAAAGAAAAGCAAAATAAAAATGATATAATATAAGGAGTGGCAGATTTTACTAGATAAGAAGTTGTGTGAGAAATCACTTCAAGTATTGGTTTAAAATTGTGATATTTACATTTATTACGTTAATTTATTTCCAATAGCTTGAAAGAATAATAATTTTCAGATTCTGATCCTAAGGAATAAAAGGATTGCAATATTAAATTGAATATTACTTTATCAAGTAGAAAAAAGATTTTAAGGTTAAAATACTCATTGAACCCAACAAGTTCATGTGACTATAAGAGGTTGGTCACATACATGAGCCACTAATAAGCACATTAAAAGGAGAAGTGGAAGCAAAATATTGACAAATTTTAAAGGTGATTTGAGTTGATGAGGCTGGAGTTGTTGAAAAGATGATAAGTCTACTCATTTGTTCTCTATTTTTGGCTATACTTTTAATGGATCAAATCACATCATTTACCATCCATGCAAGTATTTTTGGTTGGTTAAAAAGTCCCATGAACTCTCGCTAAAATAATTAAGAAATATGCAGCGCCTATGAATGTTAATAATGTTTAGCAAAAAGCCAAAAACTATGTAATGATGAAAGTACAGTCTTACTGATTTACAACATTTAATAGAACCACTAATGATGCTCCTTGCCTAATGTATTCTCCAATTGAATCTACAACCATTTAGAAAACTCATTTGCATTATAAACTCATGGAAGCATAAAAAGGGAGGGGGACAAATGCATTTGTCTGAAAATTTATGAAGAATAATTAAATAATTCTGCAAATCAAAATAAGAATCGAGAATAAGTGATCAAGCATTTTTCCACAAAATTTACTACTTCACACAAGTAACAAAGGTAATGTTAATGGCATAGTTAGCTATCACAAGACAAGCAAAAACTATTTAACTCAAATGAGTCAACCATGCTTGGTAGATTTTTCTTCAACCATTTTCATCACTTTGTCATGTTCCCAGTTTTTACACACATTCTCTATCATTAATTCAAGATCAGGCCTAACAAAAAATTATTCTCACACGGCACATCACAGAAAGAGAACTTTATTATCCCTATTTGCAACTTTAAAATAAGACTAATTGAACATCGAGACTCATTGAATCCTATTACCTTTACACTATATATTACAAGAAGACAAGCCTGGATTATGAATGGACATGCTACAAGAACAAAGTTAACTAAAAAATAATAATTGAGGCATGTAAAAGGGGGTAAAAAGAGCAAAAGAGGGATGGAAAGAGAACATCAAGTGTTGCCTTAAATTGATCTTTATGATCATTAACGCAGCATGAGGGAAGAGAGGGGAGTACAAAAGCTAGCCCCTAAATTTTTTATCAATTTAATTACACTTGCATTTTAGAACTAACAACCCTCTAATAAAGACAAAAGTGAGGTGTTGTCATGATCTAGGATTATCTGTCGATGAAAAAAAAATTGTCACATGAATGTCAAGATGCAAATCCACGACCTTTTACTAAAAGTTATTAACAATGTTTCTCGAACAACAAAGAGTAGCACCTATGTACATATTGTTGCATGCAAATTAAAAAACATATATATATATATATATATATCAATATTTTACTACAGAACCCATATTGAATTCATATCACATCCTAGTACATTGGATATCTTATCTTCCTGTTTATGCTTATGGACATTTACATAGGTACATTGCTTACTAACAAACTTCAACCCCTCCCTTTATTACTCATTATTTTCATGTAACAAAAACTTTTAAAAGGTAGTCACATCATACATAACAGTACTAAAGGTTGGAACATGGAAGGTGAATACATCTAGGAATGGTATGAAAGGCCAAAAAAAAATAAACAGAATCAAATATTTTAAAAATAATCGGATGAGGAGTTGCAATGGTAAAATAACAAGTCCCTTGCAAAGGTTATCAAACAATATTTGTATTGTAAAATTTAAAAGCTCGCGAAAAGATGTGATTACTCACTTTGGTAGGATTCGTGAAGAGCTCGGTGTAAGCAGAGCCAGCCATGACCAGAACCACGATAGACACAACTAGCAAGTCTTCAACAATTCATTATGAGGGCCTTTAAGTATGATAAAAAGAACCATCAGAGTGATCACAAATGTCAGAATCCCTTTAGCCATAGCACCAGTATGCAAATCAATTTCAATGATGGTCCTTCAATCATTTAGAGCTTGAGTGAAAATCTCTTGCCGTCACAACTATGCCCAACTTTTCTACCTCGTTCGTCTCTTTGGTTCTTCAATTAGGGATCATCTCTCTTATTTAATTTCTATCCATACTATGAAAAACATTCAATGGTGTTCAAATATTAGTTTTAAAGAAGAGTTCTTTTAGAAAAGAGTTGCATAATTATAGCGACACATAGTCGCACATAAAAAGATGAAAGATTTAAGTTGCAACTCGCATTATCTGCAAGAAATCGTCTCTGATTTACAATATTCTTCTCGCCCAATAATAAAAGACATTTTGGTCCATTCATCTCATCTTTTTTTAAATATTAAAATGAGTCTGGTTCTTCATGATTCTTAAAACCAATTTTGCTTCCAACCATGCCCTTTTCACTGATTTTTCCTATAATTAATTACTTTATCATTATTCTTATCATTATCATTATCATAATCATTATTGTTAATGTATTTCTCTCTTTAAAAAAAAAAAAAAAACCAACGCATCGGTGATGAGTCGTGATCTGAACATCGCCAGTCGTTAACTGTGTTTAGATGAGTGGGAAGGCTCTTGTGTACCCTAAAATTGCTGTACTGGGATTACATCGAAGTAATCTAACCATCTTCTTCGTTTCCGTTCCCACTCCTTCACACAGAAGTCCCGCTATCTCTGCCCTTCTTCCGAGGTTTTAGCTTGGGGAGCTGAACGGGGTCTTCGACTTTTACACTGCAGTAACTCTTGCTGCTGCCCCTACGCTCCGAGACAGCAGAGAATGGCGGAGGAGGCACTAGAAACCGAGACACCTAAGAAGGATACGAGGCGGATGCTCGTGACATCGAGTCGCAGATTCAGACTGCTATGTGCTCTCGCGTTGCTCACTTCAAGGAACAAGCCGAGTACTTAATTCCCCTCTCTCTCGCTGCTTCTCCGCCTAATTGGCTTCAAATTTGAATCAATTATTCGGAGACTACATGTTTTCTTAACTCGGAAAGTTCTCTATACTGTGTAATCATCTTATCGTCAGAATTTTCCCCACTTCCAAATAATTTTTGCCCCTTCGACGGGAGTCTGTGATTTGGCTCACGCATATAAATATGCAAACGTGACGAAAACACCTCATCCTCATGCTGTCATGCACTCTCCACTAGGAGAAAAGTATAATGTTACTCTGCTATCCGTAGTTAGAGTTTCTATGTTAGCATGAATGTTAGCACCTATCAACCTAGCGAACCCAAGAAAACAATGGATACTATCAAAATTCATTGATTGATGTATATCTACAGTACAATAATGATTTAGTGCAATGACCGTAATTTCTCTGCCAAGTGACTACTGATGAATTCTCTATCTGACCTTTTATCGGGATATCTAAAATATTATTCTTGCATTTGTCTTTAAATGCAGTTCTCTGACGTTGAGGGGGTTCGTAGATTGCTTGAGAAAGATCTGGGGTTGGAGCCATATGCATTAGACGTGCATAAGAGATTTGTCAAGCAATGCTTGCTGAAGGTACTTGTTTGCATTAAAAACCTTTTATCCTCACCTAGTGAAACAATGGAAAAGATGTGCTTGGGCCTTCTCATCAGCTTACCACATGATTGCGTAAAAAGGATGCTCATCACCTTTTATTTTGTGCAAATTGAAATAAAATGTTTAGCATGAAATATTGTCATAGGCATGCATAATAAATGAACGAGTGATTTAAATACATACACAGCTAACATTTTATCTTCTTAACCTTTTAGAAAGTATGCCAAAAGGGGTTCTCTGCAATTTCACAAATTTTAGTTGCATTAGGTGTGCTGCTATCATTTGTACATATTATGTACATTATAGGGAAGTTGGTGATGATACTGGGGTTAAACTTGAGCTAACCTTTGTGCATTTTTTTTTAAAATCCGAGTTAATTATCTTGGGCACTGTCCAATTTGGGCGGTGCAGTAGCAGATTACAAACCGATGTTTTATTTGCTCACTCTTAGGGCTGTGCATTGGTAACCTTGGACTTGAATCCAGAAACCCAAATGTTGCTACAAAAGTGTATATTGAGGCACATTATACCAACACTATGTTGTGAGACCAAATTAGGCTATGGTGCTTTATGGTGTCATGGTCTCCTCTTTGTAATGGTTAATTCATGCAATACTTACACCCTGCAAAGTTGGATTCCTGAAGCGATAACCTATTAGATGCATTAGTTACTTCATTTGTTTGGACCCCTGCCCATAGAAAATACAATAGCAATGAGAGATTCCTCCCCTAAATATTAAAGTTCATGGGCACTTGCACTGCAATTTGTTGTTTTAATGCTTGACTATTGCATTAACTTATGGCCCATGCTGTGCTTTGCACATATATGATTATCCCAAGTGTATATGACCTTGGCCTTTGTGTCAAAGAGCACATGCATTGTCAATATTAACCCTCAAGTATGGTTGGTTGCAATTGAAGAAATTAAGAGTCAATCGGGTAAATGAAGCACTACTTGACTTCTACTTAAATTTCATGACAAGCTATTTTACTCTGTTTAACTGGGCGCTCAACGTGCTAAAGAAGACTCAGGTGGACATAATCAATTATTGTAGAGGACTGTGATGTTGGATTTTTTTTTTTGGGCTGCTAATTGCTGTTAGTATAATAGCATTTTGCTTTACAATGTATTATATCGTATTCAATTTTGAAACTTTGATTGTAATAAAGCATGCTTAATTTTGTTCACTAGCCATATATCAATGTTATGTGTCTGTATATTTTTAACCTCTCCTTATTACTGGTAGAGCTTAGAAGGGGTTGGAGATGATAAAGGTCCAAAGATATCTGGGGATACAGGGAAAAAGTGGCAGTACACAGGAGAAAGAAGGATCAACTGAAGAAATCCATTCAAAAAAGGATGTAAAGAATCTTTGTCCTGATGATGAAGATAAAATGGAAGATTCTCCAGTATTAGGTCTTCTACATGAAGAAAAATCAGTTAAACTTGAAACTGAGGAAGCTGAAGGCAATGGCAAAAACGCAATTCCAAGTGAGACCATGATTAAGAAAGCCATTAGAAAAAGATCTTCTTATGTTAAAGCCAATTCAGAGTATGCAACTTATTCTTTTCAAATTTATCTTTCTGTTTTTACTCACAATATTATAGATCTTATTCACCATATTACACAATTCTCATTGTCTACTTTTTTTTATGAATTTTTAAAATTGAGTTTGGACATGGGTGCTGTTGGCTTTCTTATTTCAGGAAAGTCACAATGGCTGGTCTTCGTCGACTGTTGGAGGAAGATCTGAAACTTGAGAATTTGCTCTCGATTCCTAAAAAACTTATAAGCCAGCAGCTAGGGAAGTGAGTGATTTGAGTCCAGAAAGTGTGATTCAGGCTAGTACAGTGTGCACTATGAGATTTTTAACTATTTTTTTTTTTTTTGGAAGGTGTTAAATCTTGTCAAGTTTCAAAGCCTACAAACAGTGCCAAGAAAATTGTTAAGAAAAAAACTGACGCCAAAGCAACTAAAAAGGTCATAGTGAAGAGAGCTCTGATGCCTCAGATCAGCATGCTGAAGAGGACCAGGAACAGGAAAATGAAATTAAACCTATAAAAAGAAGTATTCCAAAAGGGAAGTTGTGGAACTCCCTTGAACCTAGAAAGCGAGACGATCCGCAGAGGAGACTGAATTGTCTTCTAAGAAAAGGATCAAGTCAGCTAAAAAAGCCTCAGAGGACAGCAGAGATTCAG